GTACTTGTTTCTTTTTTAATTAATATTGATCTTTTCATCTTCTAGAATGTAAGAATATTAGGAACACTATAACTATAACTCATAAAAAAAATATGATTTATTTTATTAGATTGATGACTCTTTGTTTATATAATTTTATGTAAATGTTCAGGCAAATCTTTATTGTCTTCAGTGATTAAGATTCACTCAAGTTTTGTCACAATTTCATAACATACTCCTAGACTTTCCAGTTAGTGGACATATTTTGCAATTCCAGTTTCACATAACTGAATTGCTCTTTGTCATATGCTGACAGATATCTGTCACTAGCATTGTAGACTATCTGAGGAAAATAATATGACCTTTCCCAGGTTCTGTAGTGTTGGTAGAAGACAGTGTAATGAACAATGAGGAAAACAGAAAAAGTTTACAATATATTCATTGTTTATCATGAATCCTTCACTGGTCATTCCCTCCCAATACCTAGCTCATTGTCATCATGGGATGGCTTAGGAGACAAGGACTGCGATCCAATGTAGAAGATCCCCCCTACCTTGGGCCTCAACCCTCGCCTCAACTAATTTTGCTTGGTCCTCTCTTCTCTTCTCTCCTTCTCCGTATCTTCTTTATTCCCATCTTCTATCCATTCCTAAGGTGTGAGAGATGTGCTATAAGGATGAAAGGCTGACTTTTGTGTCAGTCACAAACGGCCTCCGGGAGCCATGGTCATAGTATTCCCTTGGTTAATTGCCTACCCCTTACCCCTTATGGGGACCCAGAAGGGCAGATGATTTCTTCTCCCCAGTTTATTCAGGCTCACCATAGCCAGTAAGATTCTTTACCCTTAATAGGGGCATAAATGAAATTTGTTGATTATAATCGGATTTTGCAATTTTTTAATATGTTATATATACATATGCTAAGATTTACACCACTAAGTTCCATGTCATTTGGATAAAAAACAATGAAGTTATTAAAAAAAAAGAAAAAATGAAAAATCAAAAAAAATTATAACTCTCACTTATCCATTGACTGAACTAGTTATTAAAAAATACCACATATCCTCTATAGCAATACCTAAATTTGCAATGATTTGGATTTTGAAATTTCCTCTTAGTTTGATGCTTTTTTTTTTTTTTAAGTTCTTTGTTAAACATATAATGTATGATATATGGACCTTTATTACCTGAAATGAAAATCAGCATCATTGCAAAAATTGCAGATTTATTCAGCTTTCAAATGATTCAAACTCCATTAGAATTGCCCAAGTAGTTATGAAGATTTAAAAAAGAATGTTGACAAAGGTGTTAGTTTTGAGATATGGGGCTTTGAATTTGAGGATACATTTTCCTTTTTTTTTTTTTTTTTTTTTCTGATACCTGTGTCAATCTTGATCCATTCTATGGCATTCACATGTATTCTGAAGTGTGACTGGCACCTGGTAACCCCCTCCCCCCCATTTTGCAAGGTGCTAATGGCAATGAGTGCACGTGATTTGATTGTAGAAGTACCGCATGTTACCATAGGCTTAGCAGTGCTTCATGTGGCATTTCATAAGAATAAACAACTCCTACAGCTTTGATCAACATATATTTCTCATCATATTATGTTTATTAGTTACAGTAATAGGAATACCCTTCTCTTTTAGCAGTGCCTCCAGAAACAAGTAGGCAAGGTTACCTTTTGCAGTCGTTCTGATCATTCATGCCTTGTCACAGTTACATGTGAATCCCAAGCTCATGCACTAACTACCCTAACTGACCTTACTGGCAAACCCATTCCTGCCAAACCTCACCCCTCTCTTAATACTTGTTCTGGAACTGTTTCTATTCCCCCAAATGCTTGTCCCATATATGACAAGAACTGGTCAGACTGTGAATATGACCTATTTTCCTGCCTTGCTGAATATGATGTAATGGCAATACAGTGTTGCACTTTTCCTCTCAGTGGCCAGTGTAAATCCCGTCAATATTGCCAAGATTAGCTTCCATAGACAAGACCTCCCCCATGAGGTTTATATTGGAGGATTGTCTTATCATTTCCGACAATATGGACCCCTTTCTCGTCTGTCAAAAATGATGGTGTTTTCGTCACCCAGCCAAACAATGTTGCTCCACAACCCACTGCCCTCTATGTGCCCAACCTGGTCGTGACCATTCAAATTGCCCTGCTCAGTCATGTACATATACCAATTGTGGAGACTCCCATAATGTATTTTATAGGAACTGCCCCGCCTACAAGTTTGAATGTGAGGTAGCAGTCCTCAGATTTAAACTAGGCCTCACCCTACATGAGGCCAGGCAGGAAATATGACAGTGAGGTTTTTATCTCTCAACTTATTCCAAAACAGTCCTTTGCTCTGCACCCCCACACCTTCACAAGGTGTTTCTACATCTCCCCAGGTATCTCTCCCCCATACCCTAAACCTGTGTCCTATGTCTGCTCACCCTATCCACCAGTCAAATCCATTTTCCATCCTAAATCCAGATACTCCAATCTCTACCACTTCTCCTCTTCTCCTCCTCGTAAGAGAAACTTGGTTTCTTAGTCCTCTTCATCAACTCCCCTCCAGAAACCCTTGAAGACATCCAAACTTCCCTAAAGATGATCCAAGGGAACACTCAGCTCCTTCATCCACCCCCAAATTCCTCTGTTCCTACATTTGAAGTATTTGCAAATATTATTCCTCCTCCTCAAATTCTGTCCACCCCCCTTCTTCCTACATCCTCCTAACAAACCCCACCCTCTCTACTGCTTCCGCTTGAATAATCACACGAATCCCCTTTATCACAACAGTGTCCTACTCCAGACCCTTTCCCTCCAGACATTCTTCCTGATATTTCACCAACTTCCTCAGTCCCCCTTTCTCATCCTCTGGATTCTTCTTCTTCTACTTCTCTAACAGCGACCTCTGTTGTCCTTGAACAATGTCCCTATTCCTTCCCTAGTCATAGATACACTGCAATGCACTCAGTAACTTTACCCCGTGATTTTCCCCCAACTCCTCGCCAAAATACCTCATCCTCTCAACCACCCAAACCAAATCCTCCCCCAAAACCCCATTCCTTTCCACATACCTCATGTTCTCAACCACCCAAACCACCCATACCACCCAAACCAAACCCTCCCCAAAACCTGCATACACATGTGAATCTCTTTTATCACAATGCCCTTCCCCAGACCCCACCTTGCCTATCAAACCTCCGGGTACTACTCCTTCATCTACTCCTGATCCTTTATCTCAACCCTAGGATACCTAATCCCCTTCTAGTAAGACAACCATATCTACCGTTATCGCCTGTTATCCCTATTCCTTCCCCAGTCACAAACATAATGCAGTTCATTTAATTGCTTTACCTCTTTAACCTTTCCCATTTATTAATCACTGCTATACTTCATTTACTAACCTCCTTTCCTTTTTTCATTACCATACTTTCCTTTAACACCCTCTAATCTTTGACACCTAACACCTTCCCCTCTCCCCAGATTCTTCTCCTACCTTTCAACAGCTATCTCTATATACAACTATCTCTATATACTATAATTCAGTCAATCACCCTACCTCCTTAACACACTTATGACAGGTGTCCCATATATGAGATGCCCGGAGAAGTAAACAATGCCAGGCGTCCCGCTGGTGCGACGCCAGATCGGAGCACGTTCTCTGATTTTGTTGCCCGCAGTGGGTGGTGCGCAGGCAGGTTGCTGGACTCAGCCGCCCCAACTTTGAAGCTGCCCAGAAAATATTATTTTTGGCTTATAAATGTTCTGTCGCAAGTGGGTTAACCCTCCCCTTTATACTAATTTCTGCTCTAGTTCTTTTGCTCCCCTCTTCCCCTTTTCACTACTATACTATCCTATAACGCTCTTAAACCTTTGACATCTAAAACATTTTATTGTAATCTTTAACTCTCCTTTCCCCTTTCTGATACAATACTTTACCATAGTGTTATATGACTTCTGATGTCTAGCACATTTATTTTCACACATTAAACATTCACTGGTCATTCTAGCATTTGGATCAGTGCTAGGGAAAGTATGTTATCAATACATTTCATAACATCCTTTCCCTAGCACTGGTCCAAATGCATTTTTGGACATATCTCAAAGAGAGCTTCAAAATGAGCCCTCACTGGCCTTCCAAGGGTTATTATAAATACCACAATTTTTCATTTCTGAGGGCTGCACACAACCACCCAAATACTACAATTTTCAAAACTATGTAATTTTGTCCATAAGAGCCTGATTGACTTCAAATTTGGGTCTTCCACATCAAAGAGAATATATGTAACAAATTTGAACAAAATCTGTGATGTAGAAGGTTTGTCAGTGGTTGATTTCACATTGACATGTTGGTTTTGGCGAATCAGATTATGAAAAATGGAGTGCAGTTATCTTTAAATAGATGTTTCTAAGTTAAATTGTCTTTTCTTCTCTGGGCTGCTACTCCTTATTTTGAGCTTGCATATTCCTACCATGACAAGACCAGAATTTTCTGTAACATAATCTTTACGGAACACTTTCAGTGCTTCATTTATATTCATACATTATGGTTATAGTGTTTTATTGAAAATTAGTTTTACTCTTTTTATTATAAATGAGAACAAAAAATAGGTCAAGTAGTAGTAAAGATTCCCTTGTTCATGAATGGCTTCTTAACCCACTAATGACGGGTGTCCCACATATGAAACACCCAGGCGTCCCGTCAGTGTGACGCTGTATTGGGGTTCGTGCTCCGACATAGCAGCGGGCTGCGGTCAGCGGGTGTGCAGAGTCCGGGGCAGCCCCGCCTGCCGATTTTGTAGCCGCCCGGATTCTTTTATTTTCGGCTTCAAGAATTGGGGTAAAATATGGCCATTGCACTTGTATCTGAATGATTAACTAGACATAACCTTTTTTTCAGAATGAATAAGTAATAATTTTGTTTTCAGAAATCTAGCCATAGGTATTGGTATTCAAAATTTCCCGGAAGGCATGGCAGTTAGTCTACCACTAAGAGGAGCTGGGCATCCTGTGTGGTGGGCATTTTGGTATGTACTGTGATGTTTTATGTGCTTATCTTAGTTTATAATTATAGGAAAGGTTGGATGTCACTTTGTATAAAAAAACAGGAAATGCTACTATGAGAATTTATTTTCTGATTGAGCCTAGTTTGTGATGAGTAATCATGTCATTATATAGTTCAATGGCAGAGGGAAAGGTAAATATTTTTTATCCTTTATAAAAAACAATTTTATGAGTGAAAAAATACTTTTGATCCTCAATTTCCAATATGTGCCTTTGTAATATGAAAATAGGCTGCTAGTGACATATTGTATGCCTTGGTTAGTTTCCACATGTGATGGCATGTGATGGTTATGCATGGTCAAAACATCTTGTCCAACTTGTCCAACTAGTTGGATAAGGAGTTCTGAATGCAGCATAAGAGACAAAGACTGCTGTGTTTTTATTAAGTGACTTCAACATCCTGGCTTTTTAAAAATCTTTGTAATAAATCTCCATACACAAACTTCAAGGCCTTTGAGATTTCAAGAAATATACTGCAGAAATGTTTGAAAATATTACTTTTTTGCGCATATGATATTTCACACATTTTGGATTATTTAGGTGTGTGACTGTTACAGTCAAGATAAAGAGATGTGGGAAACTGTAAGAGATCCAAAAAGGAAATTATCTATTTATTTAAATAATGACAACCTAAAAAAGCTGGGATTATGATTGTTTCAATATTAGTATGCCAATACATGCTAATAATAAAGAAAAGCTGTCTTTGGGAATGGATGTTGCCTGGGAGGAACTAATTTTAAGATAAGTGGTTTGCTTACCAATTAGTGACTTACTATTTAGTGACTGATAACTGTAGAATGTGGCCATTTGCATTCTTATGATACATTATAATTATACACTTAAAACAAAAGAAGTCATTATGAAGGCTATGAGTGGAAAACCACACCAAAAACTTCAAAAGCTACAAAATTCCCCCAATAAAGCTTTGATTGAATAGTATCAGTTATTTCCAATAAGATGATAGCTGGAGCACATGGCATTTTTGTAAACAAAGGCCAGCAACCAATCAGGTCATCACCTGTAAGTTGAAAAAATTACTATCCAAAATCATTAACCCCCTGGATCTGGTTACAATGGTTACGTAAGTGGCCAACATCCCGAGCGTGCGGCGTATAGGCTGGGTGAGCATGAACACCCATGAGCAGTGACAAGACTCTGTGCCTCCCCTTTGAGAAGTTATTTTGTGTAAACTTTTTTAGCTTTATTGTCATTTTCCAATGTCCATGTTTGTCTTTTGATTTTCTTTATCCAGATGGTAATAGCTTATTTTCCTTGCACATCTATATCTCTCTATGTAGTAAATGATTCAGTTCCAGGAAAAAAACACTAAGAAACATTTGGCTATTTGTGTCATATCTCTTTTTTTTTTGTAATTTTCAGTTTTACGTAATACAACCTGCGCCGCTGGTCACAGTGGCCAGGAATACGGTGCGCAGCATGGAAATGGTGTCCTTCCTGGAGCAGGCGCTCTTCCAGTCACTGCTTACGCACGTTACATTCCACATTTCTTTATCGATGGGAATAATGCTAAAGCCCCCTTCTAAGTGTCAAATGAGTCAAATCACACTCCAAGAGGTTTGTGCACTCGTGGCAAGTCTTTTCCGTCACCGTGGCCTTCGCTCTTGAGGCTTTGTTCACGTCATTCATATAGATGTCCAAGTTTTTCCTTGACATGATCACAACGTCATCTGGAGCCAGGGGCTTAAACATAGGCATTATCAAACCATCTTAGGCCACATATACACATTAAACATCTTCAAACAATAAACACTATGATTCTATGTTACAGTTATGTTTAAGGTCATATTTTGGCCCAGATTCCTAAGGAATTATCCACATAAAAGCCACTTCATATGCATTTTCAATACACTGCAAGTAGACATTGACTGGTGCAAATCAAAAACCATCATGTGGGAACTGATCAATTTCCAACAAATTTCACATACTTATATAGCTAAGATGTGAGGAATATTATTGTCAGTATTTGAAAATTAATTTTACTCCCCTTTTAAAACTGGAAGATGACTTTGGCAACCAAAAATTTGAAAAAAATTGTTAAAGGACAATCAATTCAAAATATATTCTAAGCAGGTAATTCATGCATGAGAGCAATGGCAACTGTTTTGTACTACGTCATCAAAACATGCGCAGGGTAATTCCCACATAAGTATTTATTTGGGGGGTTCTTAAATGCCCATCTTGTCAACCAAAGTGTGCCAGTACTCAGATCCAAAACGAGGCTGAAGACATAAAGCATGATGGAGTATATTGGAGTTTTCTCACATACCTAAATCAAGTTGTTATGAAATTTGCTTGAAAGTAAAAGATTCAAATTTTCCGTTAATTGAGACAGCTTATAGAAAAACCCTTAGTAGACAAGAGAGACATTTTTTCCTTACTTTGATATTAATGTAATAGGTAATATTTTACAGGTATGGTCAATTAAGTGGGATG